TTGATTCTCCTCCTGTCCCACTATCATACTTAGTCCCCACCAGGATTTCAGCACTTCCTCTTTGTTACGTTCCCCTTGATCCTGCCCTACCAGGTCTCCCATACCCACCTCCCCACCGATTTGGATCGCTTGTTGTTCCCTTGTCCAAAGTCGGAGTTCTTTTCTAGATTACTGCTACGTGTGACAGGAAATTAACAGATGTTTGTTGAAACAATGATAAATCTAATGCTACTAAATTATGCTTGAAAAGAATGTTGAAAATATTTTTGCATACATATGTACCATGAGAAAAATGAGTTAAAAATAAATGACAAATACATCTTTTCACACATTGTTAGAAAGTGATGGAAATCTTGTGGGGACAACAACATTTCAAAATAGTCTTTAAAATATTGAAAAACAAAAGAGTTTTTGATGTAAGCAAGAAACTTGAAATTATGAAAAGTGTTATCAATGGAATCAGTAAAGTCTATATTCAATATATTATTTGTTTAATTGCACTAAAAATTGCTCTTAAAACAAGAGCGTTGGGCCTACATTATTGTATAGTTGCAGCAAATGAAAAACTGAATAGATTAACCAGAGGACAAGGGATGGGAAAGTAGTATTGGAAATTGCGGAAGCAGGCAGGCTAAGTTCTGCGCTGTTTTCATCAGAGTTCATAAGAGACCCAGATGTTTTTAGGACCAGATGTGGGAGCCTGGCTTTTTGAACGTGAAGATCTTGCAGGTTGACTACCTTTCCCAGGGCTTCTGGATCCAAAAACATCCTTTAGCAGCTGGTGTCCTACAGCACACTCTCTGCTTCTGCTGAACACATGCTAACATTCCCCCAAACGGGTTGTCATGCACATTACATGGACTATACAAAACAACAACAACAAAACCGACTCACTTCCTCCCTGTAGATTTCAGCTCATAGAACAATCCTATATCTTTGTCTTTGCTGGTGAGGACAGTTATAATTTGATATCCCTTTTGGATACATTCTGTGCTTGTCTGGTTTTAACATTTCTCTGTGTGTGTGTGTGTGTTTCATAGAGGGAGTTCTGTTTTATTTAGCCTTTGTTGTACAGTGTTCTTCAACTGCAGCACAAAGAAGGGAAGTGTGCAAACCACCATCCCTATCCTGGTCCCAGGGTGAAACCACTGCCTGTGGGGACGGGTGCCCACTCCTGATGATGAGCCAGCTCTGTCTCTCCTCTGTCTGAGAAAACCGCTGTTCATCCAGTGCCTGTGTGTAAGATGTGCTTTTGCTGCTGACCTCAGACATGGGTTTAACAGAAATAGGATGTTAAGTCGTCCTTATACTACAAAAGAAGGGAAACATACAAATGGAAGGAAGACTAAGGTTATTTTTGTAACCTTTTAAATTGAAACACAAACAGTAAACATATATATATGAAATGAAAACCATTAACAGGTTAATAAAGATATTGTAAATAATATCATAAATTATGCCACAGAAAAATATGGCATAATTAAAAGAAAAACAAATAGGACATTCCATGGGGACCAGGATAATAGAAAAATAGAGCAATTCCTAATAATAATATTAAAAATGATAACACAAAACACAGATTACACAGAAAACAAACTAATGGAGATAACTACCAAAAATAAGATACAAATTAAGAAATTCGATAGTCAAAATCAACAAAATTCAAATGAATTCTGAGTCATAGTAACCCTCTAGGACAGCTCCTAAGAGATTAAGACACAATTTTTTAAATTGAAAAATTGGCAAAATTTATTATTAAATATATATTGGATAATATATCAATGTCAGATTTAGTTTTTCGTGTGAAACATAATTTTATAAAAGTAATTTTAAAAGTATTCAAAATAAAAATATTTTAAAACATTATTTCAAGAACTAAGATACCTTAACATATTTTTTAAGATTTTATTAGGACCTGATCCACTCATCATACCATTCTATAGTTCAGTCATATCAAGCAGTGTTGTACAATCACCATCGCAATCAATTTCAAAGAATTTCCTGCCTTTTTGAACTCCTTTATATCAATTCCCCTTTAATCCCCACCTACTATGCCACAGACCCAGGAACCCTTATTCTAGTTATTGTTTCTGTAGATTCACCCATCCTGGGTTTCATAAATCGAAAAAAAGAGACATAACTAGGAGTCAAAAGGCTTTCAACAAAGGCAAAATAAAACAGAACCCCCTATATTATAAAAACAAATACACACACAGAAATGTTAAAACCAGCCAAGCACAGAATGTATCTAAAAGGGATACCAAATGATACGTTTTTATCCATTCGAGTCAGATTTATCATTTTAGTCTTCTATAGACGTCTCTCCGATACTCTCTGTCTGATCACC